GTTGATATTTAATAATTAATTAATATTATTATTTATACCTCAAAATATATAATCTATTTAATTAAAGTTAGTAATTAAAATTATTTCCATCTAAACATTCAAGAAATAAACTACTGGGTATTTTAATTTTTAACTTTTAATTTTTATTAATTTACAAATATATAAAATATTAATAAAAATAAATATTAAATATATTTTATACATTTTTTAAATATTAAAGACCAAAAAACCAATAGCTACAACGGAAGGACTGCCAACTGCTCCCAAACGAAACCTCAAAAGTTAATTAAACGAAAGAGCTGTTTGGTAGAATTTTATGGAGTTTTTATTTATTTTTTTTAGTATTATTTATGAATTATAAATTTAAATTTTTATTAAAAAATTAAAAGTTATTTTTAAAAATAATAAAAAATAAATAAAAAGTGAGTGAAAATAAAATTTATAAAAATAAAAATTTTAAATTTTATAAAATTTATTATTTAAAATTTTTTTAAAATTAAAAAAATTATTATTTAAAACTTTTTTAAAATTAAAAAAATTTAAAAATATACATTTTTCTAAAAAAATTTAAAATTACTAAATATAAATAGTACCAATAACCTGAATCATTTACAAATATTACCAAACATGATCCTCCGAAGTAAATAAATGGGTTACGGACTTATGAGTCCAAGTCCAACAACCGGATCCGAAACGTTAACTGTACATGCAAAACTGCAGAACGCCAGAACCTACCAATTTCCGTTTTATTGCCACGTTTTTTCCATTCTGCTGATAACTTAGTAGAGAGTTCTTTATCTCTCTGTTTTCAAGCCCAGGTGAGTTCTCAACCCATCTTCCTCTTTGATTCTTTGTTTTTATTTTCTGGTTTTTAATTCATTATACGTGATCTTAATAGATTCTTTTTGATGACTTGATTTTAAGATTTCTGTTTCGCATGATTAGATACGATGAATGATTCATGTATTGTTCATAATTTATTGCAATTTTCTATGTAATTACATGATATTGGGTGATAATTGAACTGGGTTTGTTGTTGTTACCATGATGGTTGTCTGGTTGAGATGGCATTGAAATTCAAGTTAGGCGTATTAAGTGAAAAAAAAGCACATTGAAATGTCTTGTGTGTGTAAATATAAGATGGGCTACTCCACTTCTCGTCTCATGTAAAGTCCACATGTTTTCAGAAGGTGATTGAGGGGATGGTAAGCAAAAGTGGTTGATGTATTTTTGCTTGGGAGCATATCTTTAGCTGGGGGACTATGATTTTGTCTTTCAGTCTGGCATACAATATGATACTGTGACCTATTCTTCATATGCGTTTATACTTATTTGCTTTGACTTGTATTTAGGTGATGACCACATTGGAGTTCTACTGATATGTATGTGATTTCTGGGTTGTGCATTTTCTTCTTCTTCTGCATTGCTTCTCGGAAAATCATGTATTCCCTTTTTTTATGCTTTGGGAAATTTGTTAGTTTTTCAACCAATTACTTTTAGTTAGATAAAAGTGAGGAATGTCAAAAGGTACTGACTAGGTATTGACAGTCTTCCATCTTTGTTATACTTAATTATTTTAAAATTTTAAAGCCAAACATTGTGATCATGGGATTGGATTTGTTCCCCTTGTAAAGCTAATAATCTGATTTTGCCTCATAAAAAAATCATCTTGTTTAGTGAAGGATTAGAGCTTTAGATTCAACTTAGGAGACATGCGGCTTTGTCATAAAACACTATTATTTCTATCCTAAATAATAGCTAAAGTATTATGTTAAAGCATCTTATCAATCAAAGTCAAACAAGTGATTTCAAACCATTAAAGACTTCATATTTTACAATGGACATTGCTTTCCACCTAAAATTCAATAGAAAGGGAAAGAAGAAAAAAAAATGGGATAATGTTTCTTTTAACACCTACCATATTGTCATCTCTATACACTAAAGCATTAAATATTAAATTATCTCCCTTTTCATTTTATCTCTAGTAACACTAGATATGTGCTAGGATCTTTCCTAGCCTTAACCATCTTTTGTTCTTTTCTGACAGTGGACATACCATCTGTGTAGAACTTTAGAGATGGAGTACTTCTGAATCAATCTTTGATTAGGATTGCAAAATCTTCTTTTTATTGTAAGGATTGCACAATGTTTGCACCCTGTGTTGGTATGTGTTGTCACTGTCCCCAATGTAATTTTCAAATTCTCCGTATGTTTTGCTCAGAACACATCTGAAACCATTAATTGTTTTAGCTTAGTTATAGGTTCAGGATTTAATTGTCTTGAGACTTGAAGTGTTGCATTGGCAACTCTCTTGTTGTAGTGAGGTTTATGCCTCTGGATGATGTGTTTCTCAGGTACTTTGTCTGGTACCATGAATTTACACTGATATGGCTATGGCCAACAAATAGAGTCTATAAGAATTCTAGAATTGCATTTTTCCTTAATCTCTGACCATCCAAAATGAATATCTTCTTTTTTGACCGATATTCTGTTGCTTTGTCTGGATCAGCCACTTTTAGTAATTTCTTAGAGGAATCCTAGTTATTTACTTGAGAAGTGAAAACATCAAAGAGCCATTTCACAAATTTTCAACATTTTTACAATTTGAAGAAAATTTGGGTGTTGGAAACATAGACAGTTTAAGGATGAATACTTTGAGTCTTGCATTAGTCCTATGCTACATAGGATGTTTTCTGATAAGTTTTATTTTTTTATTATTTTTTTCAGCAATCTATTTGGCTTTTCTTGGTTTAAGTTGGGTAATGAGCTTTTCTGTATAGACATTTAGAGTCTTTGCTGCATACCTGTTTTTCATCAAAGAATGCCATGAAATCTCAAGTATTTATTCTCTGTGTGTGTGTGTTTTTAATCTTCTTTTATGGACTTAAATCAGAAAAGACACCCATTTCATTGAATATGTTAACTATTCTCAAACGTCCTTGAATTCTTGATTTCCATTCTTCCAGGCTAGGAGATGAATTTCCTGACTCCAGAAAGGTTGGCAAAGACCTCTCTTTGAGTGCCAAGTGGTAGTTGCCTACCATCTTCAGGGGTCAACTGCATGGGTTTTAGAAATCAACCTTATATATAGCACTGAAATTAATATCGACTGGATATCATCTTTGGGCCTTCTATGTGATTGGGTGTCGGGCCAGAACATATCCTGGTGTCTATTTAACACGGCTTGGCAAAATCAGTGCAATGTGTAGAAATACATAGAATTCACTATGCAAAGGGAAATGTGTCTTCTCTTTGTTTGTATGCTATGGTAGTTGATATGTGCCTCAGAAGAGGTGTCTCATGACAAACTCATAGGACAAAAAAACTAAGCTGAGCTTAAGCTAACTGGACTGCCAGCCCATTAGATTGCTCATGTTGTAAAGCCTTTTCATATGTCTTAGAGTTTTGAAGTTATTAGCTTTAAAGCTTGCAGCTCAGCATACTTGTTGCAAATTGTGTCCTAAGCTAAGCCTGCTGACGTTGTGCTCTTTTAGAAAATAAGTGGAATCGAACACCTCTTAAGTTATGTCCTGTTGGACATTGTTGTATGCTTTTTTAGATGTTCCTCAGTCCTGGTTTCCATACCGTTTGTTAGCTCACAATAAGCTGAGGGCGTTGGTTTGTATCAGGCAATGTTATCTGTTTTATCTAATCGAATTTCCATTTCACATAAAGAAAATTACTCTGGCTCCATAATCCTGTTTGTCAGCAAGAAAGTGAAAATTTTCTTTTGCAGAAAAAGCTTAGGAGTCTAGTTCATACTTGACATGTTCCCTGCATGAGACAAAAACTTGTTTTCTCCGGGAAGAGCAAAGAGATGCACACCACCAATCCAGCAATCCTCTATCTTCACATCAACCACACGCAGGGCAGTGATTAACGCAATGGAGTTGCAACCAGAAATCTGAACAGTAAATTCCCAAGAGGAAGCAAAGGTTCAGAATGTAAAAGTAAGTCTTTTGTACACTCTAAATTTTAGGTATTTACTTTGTTTCCTTTCACACAAACATATTTATGGAACTGTAAGAATGTTGCTCTGACAATGCACAACTCAACATCATTCACAATGAATTCCAAGAGATTTCTTTGTCTCCCAACTTACGGGTACACACACTACTTTTAGTCACTGTCTTATAACATTCCAACCAAGTTTAAATTGTGATATTTAAGGACAACAACAATGGTAAGCATCAAAATACACAAAACAAAAAAAATACTACTAATTCCAAACCGAATTTGGGTCTTCACCCATTAACACAAAATCCTAACCTAAAACCCTATTCCATCCTACTGATTCTAATTACTACAATCACTATGGTTATGCTTGTTCATGTTACTATTATGATTACTGGAGTTTCCGTTTCCACCTCTTCTGCCATGCTTTAGCTGTGAAATCTCCAACTGGGTTTTCATGAAAAATTGCATTCTCTGCAGCTCCAGCTCCTTGGCAAACTTCATTCTCTGTTTCTCCATCTCCACCAGCTGCTGCAGCTTCGCACTCTCTGCTTGCTCATATACCTCCCCGAACTTCAGTATCGCCTGTGTCAATTCCCTCACGGAATTCCCCCATTTCTTGTCCTTCCCCCCTGAATTCACCTCCTCCTGCACCTTTTTGGCCTTCTTTTCCGGGGGAGGCGGTAAACTATCCATTGAGTCCCCAGACAGCTGCTCATCATCCTCATCTGATTCTGCCACTGCTCGACTCTGCTTCCGGGGCTGCACCTTCTGGCTTAGGTTCTGATTCTTATTCTTCATCGTAACCGACCTCTTGTTTTGTTGCTGTTGTTGTCTTGGTTCTGGAACCGGGCTAGCATGAAAATGATTCCTTGCAGAACGAATACCCACCGGAATTCCTATTGGTACTTTAGACCCACTTCCACCACTGGCACCACCGCCACCAGCCGCATTGAAGGCACCCTTGGCCGATGGCCCAATAAGCTGATCCAACCTCTGGAAGAACATCCACCTACTAGGTGCTCCTCCATCACTCATCTTCGCCTTTTCCGACTTATACTTCTTTTTAACCGTATCGATTCGATTCTTGCACTGGATGTCAGTCTTTGGGGTTTTTGAGTAGTCTTCTCTGCCGCTCACGATCTCCGCAACTTCCTTCCAGTGCTTCTGCTTGAGGTTACCCCTACTCAATTCCAGATACCTCTCACCCCACGCCTCGATCAAGACCTCCGTAGCGCCCTCGCTCCAGCAGTCTTCTCTCCCACCGCCTCCACCACCGTTGTTCTTTGAAGCCGACTTAGAGTGCTGCTGCGTCGGAGGCGCCAGAGCAAGCGCGTTCGTATTCTGCTGCGGCGGTGACAGGGACGGCGGGGCGGATGCAACAGTCACCGAAATTCGCCCGTTGGACGGCGGAGACGGTTGTGAAGGAGATCCGGAGTGCCCTTCCGACTGCTGTGACTGGATCTCATCTTCCTCCTCCATCCTAGATCTGAGATAATTACCCGATGGAAAAGAGAGAACGAGCTAGGGTTTTGGTTGACCGGAAAAAAATATATCTAGAAAAAAAAGGGGGGAGAACTTGTCGATGTAAATTTTCTAATTTTCAGGCGTTTTAATTCGGAAGGAAAACGGGGGATTGACGGCGTCGGTGAAGGAGGTACGAAGGTGGGACACGTGGAGGGGAGAGGGTGGATGTGATGGGGGAGAGACTAGAGAGTGGGGATCTCGTCACCGGCGTGAGGAGTTTGCCGGTAGGCGTACCGCGCTGTAATTATTCTGATGGAAGCGGAATTGACCGAAAACGCCATGGTTTTAAGTGGAATTGACAGCCAGGGTAATTTAAGAGAATACACCTAAATTACCATTTTGTCCCAAAGATTGTAAGTTGCTTGTTTGCATATTTTCCAGAGGCTGCGCCGCGGAGCCAAAAAAGAAAACATCAAAATCATTCTATTTCGTCAAATTGTCTTGTGGGCTGTGTTGCCGTCCCATCCTTGCTCTGGACATGTTATAAAGACATTTTAGGACATCAAACATTTTTGTTAGAAATTTCATATTCACACGCACAAAGGAGGGAGAGAAGAGAATGGAAATTTCATATTCATTTTACTTATTATTATTGTTGGAACTTCTTTTATTTATAACAATGAAGGCACTTGACTTGTATGCTATATAATTAGAAACTTAAAACATTTTTAGAAGAAATTACCATTAAATCACTCAAATTATTTTTTATAATTAGTTTGACATCATTATTAAACTAGTAGTAATTTTCATTTGGAAGTAAAAGGTTTGTGAGAGAGATGATTAATTCTCTCTTATAAAACAACTTAAAATAAATAAAAGAATTTTTTTATATATATTTTAAGGGTATATTTATTGTATTATTTATTATTAAATTCTAAAAAAATAAAAAAATAAAATTTATTTTTAACATCAATTTTATGTAAAATAATTTAATTATTTGATTAATAAAATTTAAGTTAATTTTTATTTTTTATATAAACTAATAATAAAAAATATAATAAATATACAACTAAAAAAGTTTCATTAATAAAAAGAAGGAAGTAATAATAATATTTGCGGCAATTAAGTAATTTCGTAAATCAAGTATACAGTCCAACGGCTACGTAGATTTCACGGGGGGGTGGTTTTTTTGTTTTAACGAGTCTAACCCTAACCCAATGTATGGGTTTGTCAAACCCTGGTTTACAGCACGTGTCAAAGAGTAATTGGCAACCCAGTAACCGAGCGTCTGGCTCACGACGCTAACCGACAATTGGCGGTGACCATGGTTGCCATCGGCCATCGCGGACCTGACGTGGATTTGTTACGTAATCTGTCGGTAATCCGATGAGGACTTACGATGACGCCCCCACACCAGTGTTTCTCTGTCCGGTGGCACGTGTTGTGGAGGGGTTGGGAACTTCGGATGCGAAAAAGGTGGAAAATTTGAATAATGCGGGGTATCGAACACCCACCAACATAATTACATTTGCTAATTTCTTGATTTAATTAAAAAATTTTAAAAATATGATATCTTCGAATTTAATTAAATATTAAGAATTTTTATAAAATTATTTAAATATTTAATGAATTTTTTATATATTAATTTATTTAAAATATTTTAAGTATTAAACCATCTTGATTTCTTTAATTCTCTTAATTATTTATTTAAACACTCTTAATTAACGTACGTCGGTATGTGCTTGATGTTGGACGACTAGAAAGGTGGACACTAAATTTTAATGAGACGTAGAAAAAATCGGCCCAAATATCATGGTCCATGGGCTTATTAATTTCTGGCGCTTTTTGCGCTGGGGTCCTTTGCACGTGCTTCAAATTTTATATTAGATCCTTAACTTTTCATTTTATTTCTTTATTTATTTATTTTTTAATCAGTTGATGGTATCTACAATGAGCGGTAATTTTTTTTAAAATTTTTTATTTATTTTAAAATTTAAATTTAAAATTTTTAATATAAATTTTAATTTAAAATTTTTAATATAAAAATTAAAAAAAAAAATTATTAAAAAATTTAAGATGTTAACAATCGAAATATCTTTACAAAACATACTTAGATCCTTAACTTTAATCACAGTAGTTTAGCACTAGAAAATAGAAAGTAATTACTCAACCAATTGTTTTTCTTTTCTCAAACGTAACCCCTCTCCTTTTTCTTTTTTTCTTTTTTTCATTTTTTAATAAAAAATAGGCTCAATCCAACTTAAAATTTTATTAAAACATTTTCAATAATATTTTATTAATAATTATTTAATACTTTTAATACTAAACTTCAATGTTAATTTGTACTCTAACTTAAAAAACATAAATCTCTTCGATGAATATAAAAAATATACACTATTAAAAAACTTGATATCACTTACTAGAATCTCACCAAAGTGAGAAGTTTTATCAATTAATAAATGTTTTACGGACAAAGAACATGTTTGCATAGTTAAAAATAGTAAGATTGAAATTAATTTATATTGTTTAAAGTTCGAACAAGCATTTCGTCAGTAAATTCAGACTATACATACATGTTTTTTGTTGGTATTAGTCCTAGCTAAATATTCACTCCATCAGTTCCGGCGACTTTTCTTCAGTGCAGTGAGCAGAGAGTTTAAGGATCGACGAACCTCTCGTCAGTAACTATGAAGTTCGATCTGCAACAAGAATCTTGTCGATAAGTTGCAAACTTCGCGGTAACATCCACTCCAGAAGCTTTTCAATCCTGTGAGTACAAAATTATTTGGCCGATGAACTTCATGTCGATAAACTTGCCTTAATGCCAACAAGAGCTTCGTTGGTAACCTCCCATTCATCGCTGCAGTCAGGTTTCAGAAGAATCCATAGCTCTTTCATGTCAGGATGGGTATTTGATAAACCTTCAGAAGAATCCATAGCTCTTTCATGTTTACAACTTCTAGCACATTCTTTTCCTGAACAAGCTTCATGACTTAGGGTTCTGCACCTGTATTCCGTTTTCTATTACTCAAGCTTTGTAGTAGCTAACCCATGTTTCACCACAACCAAAAATGTAGATTCAAACCTCAGAGCCTATAGCATGGGATTGGTTCAAACAAAATTTTTGGATTTTAACTTTGCAACAAGAATCTTGTTGGTAAAAAAGGGGCAAGATCACAAAATTTTTGCATTTTTTTTGCTCCCGCTGAAACTTTTATCTTACTAATGTGTATTATGTTGGTAAAAAGAATACCGAAATATTACAAATAAATAAATGCTCTATATATTCCCACAACTACACAACTCAGTCATTTTGTTTCTTTCCTTCCTTCTTCTTCTTCTTGTTTCTTCTCCTCGATTATATGTCTCTCCTCCTTAATTCTTCTTCCATTAAAATGTTGCTGAATTTTATTATGTTTATAATTACATTATATTTATGTTATTTTTTGTTTATATCTTCTCAATCTCCTCTCTTTTTTCTTTTCCATTCTTTCTCCCTAATTGATTGAACATGAATCTGAGTTATTGGTCAATTTATCTATGATTCTAATTTTTTTTAGTATTGTTGTTTTGTAGGAAACATTGTTG